TGGAAGGAAAGTTATGACCAACCTAGACAGCATATTAAAAAGCAGAGACATTACTTTGTCAGCAAAGGTCTGCCTAGTCAAGGCTATGGTTTTTCCACTAGTCATGTATGGATGTGAGAGTTGGACTATAAAGAAAGCTGACTGCAGAAGAACTGATGCTTTTGAACTGTGGTGTTGGAGAAGACTCTTGAGAGTCCCTTGGACTGCAAGGAGATCCAACCAGTCCATCCTAAAGGAGGTCGGTCCTGGGTGTTCATTGGAAGGACTGATGCTGAAGCTGAAACTCCAATACTTTGGTCACTTGATGCGAAGAGTGGACTCATTTGAAAAGACCCCGATGCTGGGAACGATTGAGGGCAGGAGGAGAAGGGGATGACAGAGGATGAGATGGTTGGATGGCATCACTGATTCAATAGACATCAGTTTGGGTAAACTCTGGGAGTTGGCGATAGACAGGGAGGCCTGGCGTGCTTCGATTCATGGGGTCGCAAAGCGTCGGACATGACTGCGACTGAACTGAACTGAATAAATACGCATGTCCACACAAGGATCTGGGCAATATCTATAGCAGCTTTATTCAGAACACTCAAAACTGGAAGCAACCCAAATGTCCAACAACTGGTGAATGAATAAACAAACTATGGTTCAGCCACACAACAGAGTATCATTCTGAAATAAAGACTCCTGAGACATGTCACAACATTAAGTATAAAAAGTGTTATGCAAAGTGAAACAAGGCAGACAGAAGGGACAACACTTACGTTCCATATACATGACATTCTAGAAAAGGCAAAACTAGAGACAGAAAAGTTAAATAAGTTGTTCCCAAGGGTGAGTGGCAGGGGGATGGGACAGATAGCAGAGGGACACAAGGGACCTGCAGGGGTAAAGTTAACATTCTGTATCTTCACTGAAATGGTGGTTAGATGACTGCATGCATTTGCCCAAACTCATCAAGTTGTATACTTAGAAAAAAAAAACAGATGACTTTTATCATATGTAAATTATATCCCTATTTATTTTCCCAAAGGTGGGAGGATACCAATGGCCAAGGATCTAGTAAAGGGTACTGGCTGAAGACACACACAGTTTCTTGGCACACATCTGCAATGGGCTGGGTCTGAGGAAACCAACCTACTTAGCAAAAAGCCCTAGCTAGATCTAGGGTCCAAATCCAGTTCCTGTCACTCCGCTTATGTCTGTGCAAGTGCAGTGGGCTGACCTTGAGCGCCTTGGTTACCTGGAAGGAGGGATTATGGCCATTATGTATGGTTACGAGCAGGAATAAAAACATGAGGTGAACAGTCTAAAAAGGGCTGAATGCTCTGCCTGAAGCCAGTGAGCAAGACAAGATTATAATGAATGAACACAGAACCAAAAATACAAGTAAAACTGCTTCTCTCCAAATCTTGGTTTTCTTCAATTCAGCTAATACTTCATAAGATGTTTCATGAGCCCCACATGCCAGGTACCGTATAGCTTTCTCTCTAATTCTCTCAACAGTCCCTAAGGGTGGCCCTCCCACCTGAGGCTGCAACAAGGAGGGTGAGGCAGCCAGCGCCTCAGGAAGAGCTTGGGTAAGCATCCCAACTCTGCCCCTTGCTGGCGGCTGTCCTCGAAGTCACTGAATGCCTTTGAGCCCCTCAGTTCCAGTAGTAACAGTGATCACAGAAAACAGTCATCTTTCCCTACCTTCTTCCGTAAGTGTTGTGCCTTAACAGTGCTCTGAGGGCTCTGCTTTTAGAGAAGTCTAATCTAGTAGCCAACGAAGATTAGTTTTCAAACCATCTTAGGGGCAGCTTGGATGGCCTTGCTTTTCCTCTTCAATGTGACAAAAAAGGAAGGGGAGTCATCTCTTCCATGTCCGGACATCTATCTCGTTACTTCAAGAAAAGTGGGGGTAATACAAGTATTGCCTCTTGTATCAGTCAGGGTTCTTCAGAGAAGCAGGACAAGTAAGATGGAGATGGACACACATAAAAACATATGGGAGGTGGTGGGGGGCGGAGAGAGGAGGAGACAGAGAGAGAGACACACAGGCATTTCAAGAACATGTGTGATTGTGCGGGCTGCCAAGTTCAGAATTTACATGGCCAGCTGGTGGTTGGAAACTCTTGGGCAGGAGTCAATGCTGCAGTCTTGAGACAGAATTTTTTCTTTCTCACTGAAACCACCTCCATTATGCTCTTGAGGCCCTTCAGCTGATTGGACGAAGCCCACCCACATTTTGGGGATTATCTTTTTATTTAAAAGCAACTGACTGTGGACATTAACCGCAACCACAAAATGCCTTCGTGGCAACACCTAGGTTAGTGTTTAATTGAATAACTGGGTTATTCAGTACAATCGCCCAACCACCTTGACACTGAAAACCATCACTTATCCTGGGTGGTCCGCTGACATGCACAGAGGGAGCTAAGAATTCCTACTCAAGCTTTCAAGAGAAGCAGGAGTAGACTTAGGAAGAGCAGGATTGTCTAACAGGAAAATAACTACCTGCCCTTTCTCAGGGACTCTCCATCCACAGGTGGGTCTACTGTTCACACTACTCCCCCAGATGAGTTCTGTGACATAAACCAAGAAACATTTTGACCTAAGATCCAGTAAAGGATCTGAGTGATCGGGGGGAAAAAAAGAGAGAGAGAGAGAAAACAAAGACAGACTCCAAGCTCTCAAAAATAAAAAATAAAGTTCATTTATTAAGGAAAAGTTTAACATATGATCCATGTGCAGAACCCAAAACAAAATCTTCCATGAGTTCCTGCATGATCCATATTTCTACATGTACCATTCAGAACACACACACCCACACAGGCACATAACATACACAGGACTGTCTAGTTATCAAGACCTGCTGGATGGCAGTTTTTCATATTCCTCTTATTCACACATCCACTGACATGGTTTACAACAGAGTCACATAATTTTATTGTTCAGTAAATCAAAACTACTTCCACAGCATCACCTTGATTGAAACAAAAGAACATGGCTGACAGCAGGCACCTTCACCATTACTCCCTATCGCGACTCTGGTAACCTCAGCTCAGCACCATTTATGTCCCCTGGCCAGGGAAAGACCCGGGGGTACAAAGGACAGGGAAGAAATGTCACAGGCTGATGCTGTCAGTGCAAACAGCCTTGCAACTAGCAGGACTGTCTAAAAGTATTAACCATGATTTCAATACAAACCGTACTCTTTCCTTTCCTCTTAATGGTCTTGGAGATGCGTAATGTACCTTGGAAAATCAAATTCTAAGGCAGACTTGGAGCCGACTCCTGTACATCAAGTCAAGCTTTTTTAATTTTATTTCCACCGAGAAGTAGCAGCTTTGTGTTCTGAGCTAGGTAGATGCCAGGGCTCACCTGAACATCCAATCAGCCATGAAATAAACTGATACAGACTCCCTTGCGGTGAGTAGTGAATAGAGAGAGCTGTAAACAGACATAAATTGAGATTCTGCACTTCCAAAAAACACAAGGTGAACATGTAGTGTTAAACAGAGATGATGTTCTACAATTTAGGATGGGAGAGATTTGAGAAAAAAAGCCAGGCAGGAGAACAAGCAGGGGAAAAAGATTTTCCTAACATACCTGTTTGGAGATCATCACTTTAAGACAACTTTGCAAACTGCAAAGTTTGCCTTTCGTGGGGGTAGAGGGTAAACGGTGAGCATTATCAGCCAGTGAATCTGACTGGAGAGGTGAGTACAGAGGAGTTAAGCTGCAGGTTCTAGGCTAAGACACACCACACAGTCACATCCGTCTGGCCAGGGTCTGTGCACAGAAGGGCTCTTAGCAGCACAACATAAATATAAATAATGCCACTTGTGAATGGTACAACTTCTAGAAAAAGTGACTAGAGGATGCCAGGTCACGCTGTTCCCAGCAAGAACCTGCATTTAAGGAGAGGTATGCTACCTGCAGGGAGTTGGAAACCCGCTCCCAATAGCAGCGTCTGCAGGAGGGAACAAAGGGCTCTGAGAAGCTACCTCTGGGCTGATGGAACCTGGGGCCACCCTGGGGAGACTGGAGAAGGACACAGAGTGGAACAGTGCTGGGCCAGAAAGCCCTATTGTTTACCTTTGGTCAGGAAGATGAGGCCTCACATTCCTGCAAGCCTTTGCTCTTTTCCTACCTGATTGGTCTCCTGGGGCTTCTTCACCAGAGACTAAAGCAGGGCCCAGGGAGAGGCTGCAAAGGCAGCAGGGAGGGACCCCTGCTTGAGAAGCCCCGGGGGCAGGGGAGCAGTAAGCTTCCCTGAGCTGGGCTCGCCGGCTGCTTCTGTAAAAGGAAGGGCTTCCTCCACTACAACCGTCTGGCCAACCCTTTACTCAACGCCTGATTGCTGTGCAACTGCACGAGCAGGAAGGTCCCCGTGGCATGCGCCTCGCCCGGGTCTCCTGAAGCAGCCGTGTGATTGGGCTGCCCAAGGAGAAAAAGCACAGCAAACAATCGAACAGGGCCAAGGCCAGGCCAAGCTAGTTTGCTGAAGCCCCACGGCTGCAGCGGTCTCTCCTACACTCCAGGTTCCCTGGGCAGGGGCCCTGAAGCAATAGACCTGGGGCCAGAAGACCTCAGGATGCTGCGTCCAGTTGTCAGGTCCCAGCATCCCAGGCCGGGTCTCAAGGGCCGCCTGGACAGGACTGCCTCTAGCAGTGCCCTGAGCACACAGAAGCCTCCAATGTGGAAGCTGTGGGTGGGACACATGTCTGAGCCCCTAATACTGTCCTGCACCTTCTCGCTGGAAACAATACCTAGGACCGCTCTGGAAAGACTGCTGAAGGCTGGGCTTGCAAATGGGAGCTGATGGCTCTTGAAGTTACACTTTGGTAACCAGAAGTTACTTAGAAAGCTTGAGGCTCCAAAGGGCAGGGCCACTGCCACCTCCAGCTAGAACCCTGGTCACGTGAGCACCTGTGAGTGACCACCAAAGAGCCAAAAGAATGGGGGAAAGTGTTCATTTTCCTAAGGGAGATCAGATCACCACTGACTGCATCTTCCTAAGTGAACAAATGATTAGGTAGGTCAGGTGTCAATGAATGAGACAGTGGCTTTAGAACAGAAGAGAAAGAAAAAGGCTGGGGCTGTGAGGGTGGGTCCCGGCCCCCAGGAGCTTTGGTGAAACACAAAAAGTAAACCCCTGATAAAGTAGTGCTGCTCTCCCCACTTTCAGGTAAGAGGCTGGCAGGGGTGGAGGACAGCACGACCCTGTTACCTACACAGGAGTGTGTGCGTGCACACACACACATACACAACTCAAGAGACACAGATTCAGTGAACAGCCTTCTGTGATACCTCTCACACCAAGAGGGAAGAAGAGGCAGCCAACAGTGCAATGGACATTTCCCAGCTTTCTCTGCAGTTTGTCCCCAAACCTGAAGATTGACCTTGTGGTGAGTCAGCCCTGAGGCTGCCTCTTTTCTGATACCCAGGAAGGCATGCGGGGTGGCGGAGAGGGACAAGGGCATGATTAGTGTTCAGAACACAGGAGACCAAAGTCCCAACCAAGTGCTTCCGTTAGAAGTCCAGATCCTGGAGGCAGCTCGGGGCTGGGCACTGTGTTTGCCCACCCGCCCCATCCTGCGGGGCTTGTAAACAACCAAGCACCACATGCAGTGTCAGATCAGCTGCTGCAAACTCTGGGAACTGCCTTTCACACTGGCCTCTTCTTCTCGTTCATGGCAAGAGTTGGGGTGTCCTCCTGGACGCTGCCGTGTCTTCTGTCCGTCAGGAGCTGAGGTGGGGGGACAGGTCTGAATGCACAAAGCGGCTGTTTTCTAAGCCTCCTATGGAGAGAAACCCACCCCACATCGCCATTCTTCCCCTCCGCCTTGTGCATTGGCAAACACCTCCTGAGTCCTTCCTGCCTTCTCAGGAGGAAATCAGGTTTGCTGATGGGAGGCAAAGTCTGTGACTCCCCACAGAGGTCCGCACTTCGATGGTCCTGACTAAAAGCTCTGGGGTCCTCGGCCAAGGGGGCTGAGGACCTCCGTAGATGCCTCCTGGAGTCGGTTTCCTCTCAGAGGGAGTAGCTGAGTGAGAGTTCTAGTTCACTGAGGAAGGAACAAGTTGCAAATAGTCCCAGATCTAGAGACAGAATCTAAAAACAAAATCTGGTTTTAAATAAAATATAAATATTTTCAATTTTGGCAGCACTTGCTATCTTTCAGCAGTTTGAGCAACTAAGATAACAGTATCGTGACCCACGCAAGGAAACCAGAGAAGAGGTGGTGTTGCCAGGGGTCACGGCAAGCCAGAGAGAGTGAAGGCCAAAACCTCCAGCTTTGGGGGCTGGTTTTCAACTACTAGGTGGGCTCCACTACTGGGTGGAGACTCAATTAGGCAGGAGAATACTGAGGTAAAATACTTGGGAGAGGGCTAAGAGGTGGGCCTGGCTTGATAAACAGGGGCATGTCCACATTATTTCATCTAGGCATGGCCCGGGCAAGGAGAAAACATGAGGTGAGAGACATTGAAATTTTTAGATAAAGTGAACTGTGCAACAGGGATAATTTGGAGAGGTGGGTCAGAAGGAGAGAGGCGCAGGCAGTGAAGGGAGGAGGTGGGATCAGGGAAAAGAGGTAAAAAGTTCTGGGTACAAATGAACAGAGACGGTGCTGCTGCTAGAGGTAACCTCACACGCAGCAGTGAATCTGCTGCCCACCCCCTATCCTGTCTTCATCCCTACCTGACCCAGGGTACCCAGGAGCCAGGTAGGGGTTCCCAGACAGCGACCTTACCTTCCCCCAGAGCCTGGACCCCACCTGAGGCTTTGGGGCCAGGTGCTGGGGGAACACACAGCGGGGAGTGGGCCGGTGCAGGGTCGCACCCAGCTTGCTATACAAAGGCACTGGTGGAGTTGACGAAGATGGGAGCGCTGCTTGGCTGGATCAGCTCGTACAGGGTCAGACACGTCCCTACCACAAAGCCCACGAAACCCAGGATGCTGATCAGGGCGTCCTTGACAATGGTGATGGGGCTCATGCCCTCCGAGTAGTAGGTGGTGATCTCCAGGAGGGGTGGGATGATGAGGGCCAGGGCACTGCTGCTCACAGAACCCACCAGGGAGATGACCAGGTCCAGGCGGGGGATGAGGATGGCCAAGACGCCTGTGGGAGAGAGGACATGCCTGTTGAGGACCACCCAGAGCTGGGAGAGACCGCCTCACCATTCAGCAAATCTAGCAAGTCCTTCTCACAGAAGGGGGAGCTCCAAGGAAGCCAACACATCATCCAGCTCAATTTCTCACTGCGCAGATAAGAAAACTGATGTCCAGAGAGGTGGCATAACCCGGGACTCACTGCAAGGTAGGCAGAACTGGGATTGGAACCCAGATCTCCCAGCTTCTCCTGTCACAGTCTGTGACTTCCATCTTTCTGAAAAAAAGGAGCCAAATTACATTCCAGAGCACTCTACTCCTACTAAAAGAGAGTGAGTGGAGAGCAGAAAAGGAGGCAGACCTTCTCTGAGCGACTGCTCATCTTCTTACCCCTGAGGGCATCTGCAACACAAACCTCTCTACTTGAAAGACAAGAAATGAAATGGTGGGGCTGGGGGGACCCTCCTTCTGAACGATCCCATGTAAGCCCCATGGCATAGGGTGCTTTCATGCAGCAAAAAGAAGCAGATCTGTGTGCAGGCTGACCTCAGGAGCAAAGCCCCCATGATGACTGCATTCCTGTGTTAGAGCAAGCTGGTGGCTTCCACACCTGACACTTAGCCCGGGTGTATGTGAGGAAGGGGCAACAGATGATAAAGATGAAATGAGGACTACGTGAGGAAACGCCACAGCTTTCCACAGCACACCAACACCTGTGCCACTGGCCAGCGAGTCAGACAGTGCTGTTTAAATCCAAGCAGAGGACTTACTCTATTGCCCACTGACCCTGCTACTCCCCCTAACTCAGGTCTCCACTCGGCAGGTGGGGAGTGGTGAAGGCCAATGTTGCACAGGTTTATTGAGGATTATGGGCTCTGGAACTGGGCACTAGTGTTTGGACTCTGGCTCTGTCTTGAGTGACACATGGCTCTTTCCTACTCCCAATTTTCTTGTTGACAAGATGAAGATATAAAGCTCCTGTCAGGGCGGTCGTGATGATCAAAGGAGGTCACACAGGCACTTAACAAAAGGCCTGGTGTACACCAGGCACGCAGTACAGTTAATGTTATCACCAGTAGTGTACATTTCGTTGCTCATGGCAAGTGCACCATTAACTCATTAAAAATGAAATGCATGTTGATGGATCATCTTCCCTGCTGCTGGGCTCCGGCCGGCAGTTCTGAGCACTGAGACAGGAATCCAAGGCAAATCTATCTCCTCCCTGATCGCTATAAGAGACTCACACTGGACACAGTAGACTCACACTGGAGGGTTTCAGTTCTACATTCATTTCATAAAGCAGAAGCGAAGTCCAATTGCTCTGAGGAAGGCATCACAGTGGTGAGAAGCCAGAACGTCTCAATCCTGTGCAGCGACTATACCCTCCAGATGGACTATCGGAATCAACTGCTGCTTCTTCGGGTGAGCACCAGGTGAAAGCAGTGGGCTACATTTAGAGGCCAGGTTTTAAGAGAAACACTCATTTTTTTGCCTGGAACACCACTCCATGCGGGAAGGCAAGAGGTAGGCTGGGAACTGGGATGAGCAGAGCCACATCACCCATCTCACATTCACTCACTCTGCAGCTGTGCTGTACAATAACGCCACTGTCACTAGCTATCCCAATCTGAATGCACTCGGTCCCCCAGTCACACTGGCCACACTGCAAGGACTCAACTGCCACCTGTGCCTCGTGGCTACTATCCCGGACAGCATAGACCCAGAGCACTCCCATCACGCAGAACGTATACTGTCTAGCAGATGGCACTGGGAAACGACGACTCGCTGAGCTGAATTCGCCTCCATTCCATGGGCACAGACCTCCACAACATTATTACGGTCTCCGTGGAAAGACAGCCCTAAAGAATTTACATGATAGAAAGTGACAGAACTGGAACTATGGCTCAAGCCCCCGATTCAGTAACATCATAAACCTGATGATCAAGAAAATACAGAATGGTATGAGCAGGAGGAAGGAGAACAGGGGATCTGGCTGATCAGCAGAAAGATCCTGTCTGTGAAGAACTGAGGGGTTCAGACACCAGATTAACTTTCCCAGAGACACACCACAATCATGAGGTAGAAAATCCAGTACAGGTCAGCCCCGACCCCTCTCTGCTTTTCAGAGGACTCCAGACAAGGATTTTGAAGCCTGATAACAAAAGGAGGTCCAAGGAAAATGAGTTTCAGATCTGCCTATGCTGCCCAGGGTTTTACAGTTCCAGGGCGATCCCTTCCTATTTCTTTCTTCTACATTCAACCATCACGGCAATTATCTCTGAATACCCTCACTGTTCTGAAGCCTTCAGAGTCTACCAAAGGTATAAGCTTTGAACTTGCTCTGTAAGTTTAAAATAGTCTGTTTCAGCCTTCAGCTATTTCTAAATAGAGCTGATGATGTCCCTCAAATCATCAGGGTTGAGTTTGGAGGAAAGTTGGAAGTGTTTGTAGGTTGATGACAAAATGATGCTCTCAGCACGGAAAACCTAAGACAAGAAGAGTTGATCTGCTATGTGACCTGGAGTAAGACACTTGCCCTCTCTGGGGTCTGGGTCTCTCTTTGCCTAATGTTTAACCACACAGTGGTGGCTCCAGATGTTTCAGTTCAAGTGAGCAGTGGGATAGAAACAGCTGAGGCAGTCATCAGATCTGAGCCTCGGAGAGGCTGGTATAAGAGTGTGGTTAAGGGTCTGGACTCAGAACCTAGGCTACAATCTACCACTGACCAGTCAGTTACTTAACCTAGTTAAGACATCTTTCCCTACTGTTAAATAGGGATGGTCAAATGAGATCATTCAGGCAATGAACTTGGAGTACTACACACATAACAAAGGCCTCATAAATGCTAAGAGCATTACCCATCCCTGCTCAGGAGCAAGCTGTGTGTGACCTGGGGTGTGGAATCAGCTCCCATTCTGAACCTCAGTTCATTTACTATGGGGTAAGATGACTTCATTAACACTGGATGATCACTTGCATTGCACTTGACTCTGAAATTTTAAGGAACTGCACAATGCAGATTTAGTCACTTGGCAATGTGTTCTGGAATAGGTCCCTCAATTCACTGTCACCTGGGAAGTACCATGTGCTGCTCCAGAGTGGTACAGCTGACTGACAGGATTCCATCTTAGAAGACGTGGTTGGGCCAAAAATGTAACTTCTAGCTCCCCTGCCCCCAGCTAGGGCGTCCCCGGTGGTTCAGTTGGTAATGAATCCGTCTGCATGCAGGAGACCCAGGTTCAATCCCTGGGTTGGGAAGATCCCCTGGAGAAAGAAAGGGCAACCCACTCCAGTATTCTTGCCTGGAGAATTCAATGGACAAAGAAGCCTGGCGGGCTACAGTCCACGGTGTCACAAAGAGCTGGACACAACTCAGCTACTGAACCACCAAGTCACTCTGGTTTTGTACTATTAAAGGAAGTATGAGTTATTCCTCCTGGTCCCAGGGTGCTCCAACCACTGAAGAGAAAGCAGGAGTTTATGAAGAGACAATAAGTCCCTGGAACAGACAAGTCAGAGGACCTGCATGGCCCCTCCCAGTGCTGAGGGTCTGTCCTCTCCTTTCCTCTTGCATATTAGCCTGAAGGACAGATGGGTACTTCATGATATAAGCTAAGTGAAGTCACATGTGCTCCACTCTGATAAGAATTAAGTGAAAACAGAATTAAGTGAAAACAGAAAGAAACAGAAGCTTGCAAGATCAGAATCTTTTCTCAGACTGGATGGAAATGTTCCATTTCATCATGACTTTAAAATAGCAACCTGAAAACTTGCTCTTGACTTGACCACCGATATACAAGATAAGCATGTTTAACACAAATGTCCTTAATAGAGGTATTTTTTAAAGGGCAAAACTTTAAAAAACCAGGACCACAGGGCTGCAAAGGGAGGACCCTCTTCCTGTCCTAGCTTGACCGGATACACAGCTGAACCCTAAATGCAGCCCGACACCAGAGAAACATAATGAGGGGAGAAGGCAGGAAGAATGAACTTCCCATTAGTTAATATGCTGGGGGAGGAGGAAGGGAGAGGGACCCAAACAGAGGGCCTACTAACCAAGGCCTCTGTTTACCAAACACCAGGCAAACTCAGGTCAGTTCAGTCACTCAGTCATGTCCAGCTCTTTGCGATCCCAGGGACTGTGGCACACCAGGCTTCCCTGTCCAGGCAAACTAGATTTCACTAATTCCAGAGATGGGAATCAGGTACTCAGGAAAGATATGGGAGCAACTAAAACCTCTTCTAACACTGAATGTCTTTACTCCATGAGTTAAAGCCCTTAAGAGAGAGAAATCCAAGAAGGTAGAGACCCTAGGCAGCAGCCAGCTGGGAAGCCGCTCCCCGTGCTGTGCAGTGCTTAGCCGCGCAGTTGCGTCTGAGTCTTTGCAACCTCAGGGACTGCAGCCCGCCAGACTTCTCTGTCGATGGGAATTCTCCCAGCAAGACTACTGGAGTGGGTTGCCATGCCCTCCTCCAGGAACCATCTCCCTACTCCCCCACAGAAAGAGCATCTCGTACAAAGAGGGTCGAAGACAGCACACTCCCCACTGGCAGTTCCCCAGCCCCCTGCAGCGGCCTAGCTATGACTTGAACAGCTTAGCTGTGGGCCCTGAGGACTAGCAGATCACACGGTTAGTCAAGAGGGCTCCAATGGTATTGCAAAACATCTTCCCTTTGGGTTAAGAGACACTGAAAATGTGATCTTTTAACTGCGGAAGCAGCAGGAGGCCAACGGCCATGTTCAGAGAAGGAACTGACTGGAATTCTGAGCCTGTGGTTTTAGACCACAACAGAAAGAGTTGACTTACACACAAGAGCAGAGAAAGCACTTAAGAGACAAACACACTGACAGAAAGCCCTTGGACACTTACAGCTCCTGTGTCCAGAAGTGCTTACTGCTGTTTATTATTATTTATTATTATTATTATTAAATAATTTTTTTTATTTATTATTATCCCCCATCAGTGTAGGGGAAGCTCACCTGTGTGACTCTCAAACGGCTGGAAATCTGTCTTTAAAATTAGTAACAGTCTTGGACAGAATGTATAATTTCATTTAGGGGGAGTACAAATTTTTAAAATAATACAAAAACAAGGGAAACAACCTACATGTCCAGCGTTAAAGGAGTAGTTTACTAAACACAATCTACCAGTAAAATGGAATATCATGCGGTCATAAAAAATATTTACAAAGGATATGTATAGTCATGAGACAATTTTAAACAAAATGCCAAAGACAAAGTTACATGTATACGAGGACTGCAATTATTTATAAAAAGTGCCCAAGGGGATTAACACACAAGATAAAATGCAAAAAAATTATTTTAAGTCATGGGGATATTGCGAATTTCTTTTTCACTTACTCTAAATCTAGACAATCTTCAAATCTTTTATTACATTCACTTTTTTTGGAGCAATATTTTGGTAGAAATTTAAAATCAAGCTCAAACTACTAGTACAGAATCACAGAGTTGTAGACATGAAGTGAGGGGATCCCTTTCACATCTTACAGATGAAGAAACTGAGGCCTCATGACCGTCCCTGCGGTGGGGAGGGGGGCTCAGAGCAGTTAGTGCTGCTGCTCTTTTTCTTTGTAGCTGCAAGACCAAAATGTGCGGGAGGCCAAAAGGGGTGGAGAAAGCCACTTTGTTTGGACCTGGAAGCTTCATTCTCTAAAGAGTCTAGCTGCTTGGACTGCTTTATATTCTAGGCTGTGATACATCTCTTAACTGAGATGGTTGTACTGTTATTCTGGTCTTCAATAACAGGTTTATGACATTCTCATACCTAACTGAAATAAAATGTGTCATGTGGCAAATGCCACAGCGAATCAGTTCAAACCACTGGAGGACAGGTTAGTGCCTCAAGAAATCCAAAGAAACTACTCTTTGTACATCTCCGGCCTCTTTCAAGTGGAGCAGCCTCTCCCAGCCTCTCCTTCTACACAAGGTCTGGATATAAGGTGATCTGCTAGGTCTGCATGGCCAAACATACAGGCTGGAAGAAACTACTGTCCCATATGAAACTGTAATAAAATGAGCACCAATCTCTGACATGCATATTTTTCCTTCCTTTCCTCTCCAACAGTGTAAAATAGAGCATCAAAAAAGTAGACATGGTCATCTTTGGCAGATGGGGAAGAGTGGTAAGAAAGTTGAATTCTAAGTGGAAAAAAAAAATGAGGCTGAACCAGATTTTCCTGCTTCCCTTTGGGATAGAGAGTTAGGAGGTGGAGAGAAAGTTGGGGAGAAAACAAGAAAATAGCCCAAATAGCAATAAAACAAGCTGCCATCAAAATTTATGGGTGTAAATGAAAACAATCAGTTACATCAAAGATCTAAGATCATATACCAATTAACCTTCAGCCAAAGAATCTGAAGTTACAGAGATACAAAAACAAAATGAACTCAGATAAATGCAATTAAGTTGGTGCTATAGTAAAATGCCACTCCTGAATCCCACAATAACTTCAAAGTCTCCAGGGAAGGCAAGGGAGGCTGAGCACTCAAGAGATGAAAGGGCTATGCCCTTTAATAGGATGACAGTGCAAGGTCAAGTCATAAGAGATCGCAGGAGAAGTGGAAAACAACCCAATGTGCTTGAAGATCAAAAGCAGCTCATATCCTCTGAGCATCACACTGCAGAAGGGAGGTGAGACCCACAGACAGAGCCAGGAAAAGCGAAGTGAAAACCAAGAGGCATCTAAGGACAGCATGAGGTCTGTGAGTCAGGATTGCTGGCTCCTGTGGGGTGCAGCAGAGAGGAGCCTGGCAGGAAGAGAGACATATGCTACCAGAGGCTGAGCCAAGCTTGAGAAGAAAATGGGGTGGTGAGAGGAGCCAGGGCCAGCTCAAAGCCCCAGCTCCTCCAGCAGGGACAACACATGTACACAGACAGACCTACTTTCTCTATAGGAACCACTCGGAAACAAAGCCCATTATTTGAGCTATCCCTATCCTTTCTTCTAGTGCCCCTTGGACTTCAAGAATCAGGGCCTTAGAGTTGACATTATGAACACCGTGCACATGGGTGCTGTCTCCTCAACACTCAGATCTAATTCCTCTGTACAGGAAACATACATGCTTGATCAAAGTCTCCAGGGTTGCCGGCAAGAGACAACTGTAAAATCTAGGAGAGTACAAGCCTCTGATCTTATCACACATCCAGGTGCTTTACTGAAGAGTCAAAGCTGCACCCAGCACATTCCTTCCTTTCAAACACTTTGGAGCAGCAGTGGGCTGCAGGCAGTTGGCTGTTTTCCAGGTTGGTCTAAGGAGATAGCCCAAAGGGCTGTACAGTGAAGAATATGAGAAGCAGATTCTTGGTTGCCATCAGCTTTCTGGGGCTGGTGAAACCAAGGTGTGCGCTCTGCTACCCAGGTCCAGCCTATAACAATGCCTCAGCAGGAGAGCTGCCCAAGATTAAATAGGAAGGTCTTCAGTTCTCAGCTCCAGTGAGTTCCTTCCATGCACACCTGGGACACAGAGCTTCCACCCACTGCCCTAGAAATAACATCAGGAAGGTACCTGTAGGTGGCTGGGGGAGGGCCATCCTGGGATGGGCGCCAGTCTGCTCCCACATCTACTTGGGTGGAAGGAAAGGATGACAGCCTCTTGCTTGTCCTGCTCTTGCTAACAGTCAACCAATGAAGTAATTTCGAACTTTACAGACTATGAGCACAAGTTAGACAACTATCACATCATTTATCCCTAAAACACTCCATTCTGGTCCAATGAACAAATATTGTATATTAACACATATACATGGAATCTAGAAAGATGGTACTGATGAACCTGTCTGCAGCAAAGAAACGGAGATGCAGAAGTAGAGAACAGACTTGTGGACACAGCTGGGGAGGGAGAGAGTGGGATGAATAGAGAAAGCAGCACTGACATATATACACCATCATGTGTAAAATAACTGGTGAGAAGTTGCTACATAACACCGGGAGCCCAGCCTGGCGTTCTGTGATGACCTAGAGGGGTAGGGTGGGAGGAGGGGAGGGGGGCTCAAGAGGGAAGGGATATATACATATAATTATGGTTGATTTGTGTTGTTGCAACCAGAAACCAATACTACGTTGTAAAACAACTTTCCTCCAATTAAAAAATAACTTAAAAAAAAAACCTATTAAAAGAAATACAGATCAGCTTTACTCCAAAGACAGAGGCTTGGACTGTATACTTTAAGGAAAGTTCCAATACGATAAGCAAAGATGTCTCTTTTCCCAAAAGAGTAAAAGTTAAGAAAAAAAAAAATTAACCATGGCCAAAAAGAGACATCTATGATTTAAGCATTTCAATTTGGAAAGAAACTGCAAATCCCTTAAAACTTAAATTAGATATCACAGACCAAATTTATTCAAGAATTATTTTATCAGCTTCACAGGAGCTTCAAAAAAATAATTTATTTTTGAATTATACCAGTTTTAACCAAGAACAAATAAGGCTCTATCTTGTCTCTCAGCTCACACTCCCAGGTATGTGGTCAGAAGAGAGGAATTAAACACAAAGTGATAAAGCAAACACCTAAGGTAGTCAACAGAAACTTTCTAAGAAACAGATTTTAGTGAGACCACCATCCAAAAGTATCTAGAATAGTATCAAGCAGTCTCAAAATGCAATCCAAGGAATAGACTGTCACACTGGAAACATGATTATTTGAAATAAACAAACATACACTTGCTATCAAAGAACTTACAGTACTCATTATGCATGTGTGTTAAATGGATCTCTTTTAAACTTTTTTATTTCATACAGAATAATACCTGCACCCATTTACTAAGCATCATGACCACTGCCATTACATTTTAGGCAGTCTCTATTAAGAAACCACCATTCCCATTCCTGTATCCTTTAGAGCACGTCTACAATCAATTCAATCCCTCCACAGACATGCCTCAACTCTGATGCTGGGACAGCGCCCCAAGTTCCCTGCTCACACAACACTGGCTATGACACAAGCCCTCTCTCACAAAAGCCCTGGGGACTGGGTGCCCTCTGGGGAGAAAACAGACAAGCTAATGATCTTGTCTTCTACTCACACGTCAGACAGACCAGCATGGTGCGCACGGAGAGATCTATCACCAGTTCGCAATGCTCGGGGCCGCGGGCCACAAAGAAGGGGATGATGATCTCAGCTGGGACGTAGAACTGGAGGGCATAGGTGAAGAAGATGCCGATGGAGTAGAGCAGCTTAACTGACTGGTACAGCCTGCAGAGAAAGTTGAGACACACTCAGAGCCAGCTGTGCATACTCACACACCCAGCAGTGAGAGTGCAAAATGGCCCTGTGGTGATTTGGCCATATCTCTCCAAGTTACAAACACATGTCTCCTTTGGATGAGCAATTTCAGGTCTAGGGATTTATCCTATAGGTATACTTGTACATGCACACATAAACTTACAGTAAAAATATGTCGCTGCAGCTCTAAGTCTGAAAGATTAAAAGAGTTCTAATGTTAATCAGTAGAGAATTGGTTAAATAAATCATGGCACCCCAATGTGCTCAGACGTGTCTGACTCTTTGTGACCCCATGGATTGTAGCCTGCCAGGTTCCTCTGCCCATGGAATTTTCCAGGCAAGAAACTGAAGCGGGTTGCCATTTTCTATCCAAGGTATCTTCCCAACTCAGGGATCCAAACCATGTCACTTGCATCTCCTGGATTGGCAGGTGGATTCTTTACCTCTAGCGCCACCTGGGAAAACTGGCATTCCCACAGAAGTGTTAAAAAGTAGGAGAAAGAACTCCGGTGCTGATACGAAACTACCTCCATGATATACAATGAAGTGAAAAAAAGCATGAAGCAGAACAGTGTTGACAGTACGGTACCCACTGTCTAAAAAAGGAAAAAGGAAAAATACTCCCTTTCAGACACACATACATGTGACATTCCTATATATGCCAAGTATCTTGAGGAGGAAACACAAGAAACTGATAATGATCACCTCTGAAACAGAAAATTAAAACAGGGGTCCTGAAGAGGCAAGTGGAAACCTAATATTTTCCGTATGCCCTTTGAACATTTGGTATCTTTTCCATGGCATATAGCCTTTAACAAATAAAAACAGGGACCAACATGATATTGTAAAAATTAAAAAACAAAAACATTTTTTAAAAGCAAGGGGAAAAAAAGGAGTAAACAGCAGGAAGAAAATACAATTCAAATGCAACAAGCCTTCTCATATCCTTCCCATCCAACTCAGTGCTCCCTAAAATCAGAATGAACAGGCAGGAACAAAAGCCATCTTTCCATCCCACTAGGGCTGGCTACTATCCTACCACTGCTTCATGGGAGGCTTCTCAGAGAGACTGCTAACCTACCACAGGACATGTCTATCTTATCCCAGACCTAGGACAGTGAAGAGTAGAAAAAAGGTCTGATCATTAAGTTTTCAGATTTGACATGCTCATTAAAGAGAAGGCCATCCTGCCCCTAAGAAAAGTTTTACTTCAAAGAAGACCCTCATGCATTACCAGCAAGAAACTGGGGCCTCCCTCCCTTGATGGAAATCTATTTAAAAGTGGTGATTATAGGGACTTCCTGGTGGTCCAGAGGTTAAGACTTCACCTTCCAGTGCAGAGGACGTGGGCTCAATCCCTGGTCGGGGAGCTAAAATCCCACATGCCTCAGGGCCAAAAAACCAAAACATAAAACAGAAGCAATATTGTAAAAATTCAACAAAGACTTTTTTTTAAAAAAAAGTGATTATACTGTTCATGGTGTGCACGCACTTTCTCTGTGGTTGAATGTAATACCTAGAAGATGTTCTAATGCTACAAGCAGGAGAACACCCTGGGAGACACTGAGATTGACAAAAGGTCTTTTGCTCCAAAAATGCAAAATTAAAAACCCTTCGGGAAAAAACCAGCTGGCAGCTCTCTAATTAAATCAGTGCAGCCCCAAAGCCTTCTGGAGTGCTGGGAAGTCTAGATTCAGGAGAGCCACCTGCTGGGACAGCCAAATAAATCATGCCCGAAGGGAGGCAGAAAGACTAGGGGAACTGGGGTGGAAACAGCGGAGGAAAGAAGACAGACGCTCGCCTACGGCTTCAGGTTACGTCGGCTGCCTCTGCTGCTCCTGACCCGTTTATCTTCAGTTATGCTGAGCTCCTACTTGACCCTTCTCTTTTGAAAGGCATGAATATTTGGAAATTGAAAAGCAGGCACTAGAGGGGAAGAGAAAGACTTTTGGGAGGAAACAGCCCACTTCAGGGCTGCCACTTGTCTGTTCATCCGGGTGAACAGTATTAAACACTGCTTCTACTGAAAAAATATTTTTCTCAATTTCCTCAGTCTGTCCTTGTACAACGCCTCACCCATAAGACCTCTAAAACCAGGCCGACCTGAAAGGTTATTCTGATCCCTAGGGCGTTCGACAAGCTTTACAGCATCTGCTCACAGCTACTATCTGCAATGAAATTTTAATCTTCCAAAAAGAACTGCTGCTCAGGACACACCTTCTGACATTTACCTTTCCAGGAAGGATTTCAGTATGTCTTGGTGTTTCTCTGCAACATAGCAATCATGACTTAGGGAAAGTGAGATACAGAAGGGTTCCTAGCCCATGGTGACAGGCTCCACCTGTACCTGCACATGGAGCAAGTGACAGTCTTGGGACAGGCACAGCAGAAGCTGGGGACCAGGCAAGTTTGCCCTCCTCTCTCCTTGTGTATCTGGAATGGTTCAAGGTCAGTGGACTGGACGCTTGACCCTTCTGGGCTCAGATCTCCTGGGAGAAGTGGCACCATCAGTCAGTGGATCAATCAATCCACAAGGCATCTGTCTCTATCAGAATGACTCATCCAAAGTATAAAGCTCAGCACCATCCTACTTCTCCACAGTGCCAGTATGGTAGTACCAAGCTCATGCATGTTATTTGATCTGCATGACCATCTGACAGAAATAACTAGCCTTATTTCCCAGAAAGGGGGAACTGAGGCAGTGGGAAGCTGTGACCTGTCCAAGGCTATAGAGAGCTGGGACATGGCAGATCACCTCTATCCTCTGGGCTCCAGTGGCTTCCTGGTAAGCTCTCCTCATTTATAAATGCCTCACAGTCTCAGCACTTAGTCCTCCCTTTGTGTTCAAAAATTTTTCACTTGGTTTTGATTGTATGCCAGGCATTGTGCCAGGGGGGTGGAGTAAAATGAATAAAGCTTACAATGTAGGGAGAGCACAGCACAGGTAAACAGACAACTACAACACAATGGAATAAGAACTAGGACAGGATCCTCAGGGGACCCCGCGGCAGCAGACAGGAGGGCCACTGAGCCAGACTTCACGTTTCAGTCGGTGAGACATTAGAGAATTTCTCAAACAGAGTGACTCCCAGTATAAGGTCTCTTCACTGAGAAGGCGCTAGATGGGGGTGGAGCTAGAGCCTGAGTGGCCCTCAGTGCATCTAAGGGTTTTCTCTTTATCGTTAAGAACTAAGGGACGTTTCTGTGCCCTCTTAACAGGGAGACTGCATGATGGGACTGGGTTAGATGGCTCTCACAGGTAACAGGAGAAGAACAGATATAAGAGAGAGTCAGACTCAGGCAGGGAGACGAGTCAAAAGGCTTGATGGGCAGCCAAGGACGGATGGTGCTAGTCTGGTGACTGGCAAGAAGGGGCTAAAGTGAAGTGGGCTGATTTAAGAGATAAGGAGGAGGAAAAATATACATTATGACCCTCATTGATTTTTTGAAAAAAACCAGTGCTCCTAGGATTCCCTCGTCCCCTACATACCAACAGTTGGGCAGGTTGAGGGTTATGCTGCCTTGGATGTTAGCTCCAAATTGCAGGTAACCCAGAATCCCCAGGCTGACATAGAGGGCAGTGACGATAGTCATTCCTACATAGAGGATGAGCGAAAATTTCTTAGGATCCTTCATTTTGTTTTCAAGGGGCAGAACCTAGGAGAACAGTGACAGACGAGAAAGCAACATTAATGGTCAATAACAATAATCAAGTAATATTCTCAGAAAAATGTAACCTCTCTTTTTTCCCCCAGAACTTCCCCAAAGCACATCTGTATTTTACTAGACAGACAAATGTAAGGTGTTCATCAGATGTTATGCTTGCAAACTCTGGGAGATGGTGAAGGACAGGGATGCTGCAGTCGATGGGGTCACAAAGAGTTAGACACAACTTAGCAAGTGAACAATAACAACACTTGCCAAGCTGGAGGAGCTTTGGAGCCTGCTGTGTAAGCAGGAAGTCCCAAGAGGTATGGTGGGCAGGCCCGGAAGCCAGCACTCCTGTTGCAGGCTGGCTCTCTGCCTCCTGCAGGTTGGGAGTGCCTTTTGCACCTTGAATGCAGGTGCAGAGCCCCCAACAGGCCCTCTCGCATCATGCCCACTCAACATGAGGAGGAAGAGACCCAGCGGTGGCCCAGGCCAACTGTATCTTGACGGAGATCATGGCTCTGCTAACCTGTCCCAAGAATGCAAAATGCAGGTCAAGGAAAATTGCTACTCCAGCTCCCAGAAACTGTTTCCTTACCTCAAAAGGGGTGGGCACTAGCTGTGACAAGTGAAACCTCCAACTTAGAGAAACTGAGGTGCTAGGGGTGGCATGATTTAATAGAGGATCCTGGAGGCTGAGGTTTGTGGAGATGTATAACAAAACCCAGTTTTCAGACTCCTATTTCAAACCACTGACCCTGCAGCCTCCTCCCTCACAGCAGAGGATTTTCTTTAACATATTCCTTTTCACATTCTTTTCCATTCTGGTTTATCACAGGATATACTTCCCTGTGCTATACAGTAGGACCTTGTTGTTTATCCATCCTGTACATAATAATTTGCATTTGCTAATTCCAAACTCCCCATTTCCCCCACTCCCCACCTACTCCACCCCCGGTAACCACAAGTCTGTTCTATTTGTGATTCTGTTTTTGTCTCATGATATGTTCATTTTAGATCCCATATATAAGTATCTTTCTGATTTACTTCACCTAGTATCATAATTTCTTGTTGCATCCATGTTGCAACAAGAAATAATGCAAATGGCATTATTTCATTCTTTTTAATGGTTAAATAATATCCCTGTGTGTGTTTATGTATGTGTGTATTCATTATCCATTCATCAGTTGATGGACACTTAGACTGCTTACATATCTTGGCTATTGCGAATAGTGCTGCTATGAACATAGGGGTGTGTGTATTTTTTCAAATTATAGTTTTGTCTGGGTATATATGACAAGTATAACCCACGACTGGGACTATTAGATCATATGGCAACTCTACTTTTAGTTTTTTGAGGAACCTCCATACTATTACGAAAGGCATTTTATGAAGAATGGTTCATACAGGGAACAGAGAAAAGATCAAATTTGATTATGACAACCTTCATGATCTGCTATCAACCGCACCTGGCTGGGCTGTTGCAGGAAAAGCAACTTAGAGCAACATCTAACTGGCCCCTCCCCCTGTCTTTGATCTTGTCATTATGCCCATTTTCCACAAGGGCCTCTGGCCACCAGACAGAGCATGTCTCAGCCAGACACACCAGCAGACAGCAGACACCATGAGCCTGTTGTTGGCCCATAGCTACGGGGTACATCACAGCTCTGCATCTCCAACCGACCTTCTGCATCCCCCACACCAGATCGAGGGGCTCAAGCTTCAGTTGATCCACAATCCAACAAGAAACAGTTTCTAAGCTTTTCTTTGGTTTCTTTCTATGGGGAGTCTTGGGAGCCAGAGGGCAGGGAGCCCATCTCCTCCAGGCCAGCCAGTCTGGACCAGGGGTGCAGAAACACAGAGAGCACGGGAAAGCTCAATGAGCCCAGAGATTTTCCTGGTCACACCCAACAACCCTCAGATCCAGCCTAAGAGTCAAAATAGCCATATATCTATTTTAAAAAGAGAAAACACAGACAAATCTTGAATTAACAGATAATGACGGTAATAGAATGACTCTCTATCTGAGCCCCTGCTGATGAAATGAAGCAAAGAGATTTTGAATGCTGAGCAAATTTCACAAAACAACTTCTGATCGCTAGCAGAGGACATCAGGCGCCCAGAAAAGCAGCCCATTGTCTTCGAAGGGAGGTAGGACAAAATATAAAAGATAAAAAGGGAGTCAAAAGAGCTACGGACGGAGACCCGTCCCGGGAAGGGAGTCTTAATAGAGGAAGTTTCCAATCACCAGGAAACCCTCGCACTGGCGGGACTGGGGGAAGTTTTCAGCAATCTAACTGGGAGGAAAAATTAAACAAGGCCCACAGATTACGTGCCTAAAAGCAACTCCCAGCAGAAAAGTACCCCAGACGCCCGTACCCGCCAGCAACAAGCGGGGGCGGGACGGAGAGGAGCGGGCGGCATTGCTTAGGGTAAGGACTGGCCCGAAGACCCTGAGAGCAATCGGAGGGAGCTTTTTTAAATTGTGGGAAAGCAAGGGTCAAAATTAACAGGCCCGAACACACTGCCGGCGGTTCGCAAAACAAAGGGACTGAGAAAGGCCAGAGAAGAGCCGGCCCATCCCCGCTGGAGGTTGGAGGCAGGGGGGAAGGGAAAAGGGCAAACTCAGCCCCTGAGAAGCCACCCCCTCCCACACTGCAAACAGGCCCCTGGTTCCCATCTAAAGACTTCCTGAGACCCGACTGGCGGCGCGCGCTGGGGCCGCGGAGGGAAAAAGCGCGCCGTACCCGGGGAGATTGCGCCCAAGCCTCTGGCTGCCTGAGCCGCTCGCCGCGGAGGGAAAAGGCGCGCCACATCCGGGGAGATTGCGCCCAAGCCTCTGGCTGCCTGGGCCGCTCGACGCGGAGGGAAAAGGCGCGCCGCACCCAGGGAGAGTACGCCCAAGCCTCTGGCTGCCTGGGCCGCTCAGGCCGGGAAAGGCACAAAACGCAGACGCAACCGAATCTGCGCTTTTGTGGAGTACCCGAAAACTGGAAGCCACTGAACGCAGGGCCCACTCCATATAGAGCAGCCGGGAGCCTGAGCAGTGTAGACGGGGAAAGCACTGACACCCGAGAGTGGGGCAAACCCAGTGTGGCCGGAACACGGTGAGTGCTATCCACACAGAGCGGTATCTGTCTGCAGCGCCCCGCCCTCCCCGTAGCAGGACTGAACTGAACTAGAGAACCTAAATAAGAGATCACTTCCGCCCGCCTGTGTCAGGGCGGAAATTAGACACCGAAGAGACGGCAAACAGAAGCCAAATAAACAAAGGGAACCGCTTCAGAAAGGACTGGTGCAACAGATTAAAATCCCTGAAGGTAACACCGACTACACCAGAAGGGGCCTACAGATATCGAGAAGTGTAAGCTGGAAAGAGGAGCTATCTGAAATTGAACTGAACCTACGCTGACTGCAACAACTCCAGAGAAATTCCTCGATATATATATATATATTTTTTTAACTTAAAAAAAAATTTTTTTTCTCTCCTTTTTTTAAATTTTTTTAAATTTTTTCTCTTTTATTTTCTTTTAAAATTCCCTATTACTCCCCCATTACTCCTCAACTTTCATTTTCATATATTTTTACGATTTTTTTAATTAGGGAAAAAAAATTTTTTTCTTTTTTTTTCTTTTTCTTGTTTTTCTCTCCTATTTCCTTTTAAAGTCCTCTAATACTCCTCTATTATTCCTTAATTTTCATTTTCATTTCACTATAACCTTGCCAAAAAAAAAAAAAGAGAGAGAGAGAAAAACCCTATTTTTAAATCGAATTTCATATACATTTCTAAATTTTTTTTTGTGTTTTTGTTTTTAAATATTGTATTTCAAAAAGTCTAACCTCTACACTAGATTTTTAATCTTTGTTTTTCAGTAGTATGTGATATAAATTTTGGTCATTTAAGAATCCAATATTCAGTTCCCATTTCTATTCAGGAGTGTGGTGATTACTCTCCCACTTTTGACTCTCTGTTTTCTACCTCGGAACACCTCTATTTCCTCCTTTCCCCTTCTCTTCCCAATCCAACTCTGAATCTTTGTGGATGTCTGGGCTACGGAGAACACTTTGGGAACAGATAACTGTGTAGATCTGTCTCTCTCCTCTTGAGTCCCCTTTTTCTCCTCTTGATCACCTCTATCTCCTTCCTCCCTCTCCTATTCTTCATGTAACTCTGTGAACCTCTCTGGTTGTCTCTCACGGTGGAAAATCTTTTCACCATTAACCTAGAAGTTTTATTATCAGTGCTGTATAGTTGGAGAAGTCTTGAGACTATTGGAAGAATAAAACTGAAATCCAGAGGCAGGAGACTTAAGCCCAAATCTTGAGAAAACCAGAAAACTCCTGACTACACGGAACATTAAGGAATAAGAGACCATCCAAAAGCTTCCATACCTACACCAAAACCAACCACCACCCAAGAGCCAATAAGCTCCAGTACAAGACATACCACGCAAATTCTTTAGCAACGCAGAAACATAGACCTGAGTGTCAACATACAGGCTCTCCAAAGTCACACCTAAGACATAGATCCATCGCAAAACTCATTACTGGACACTCCATTGCACTCGAGAGAGAAGAAATCCAATTCCACGCACCAGAACGCTGACACAAGCTTCCCTAACCAGGAAATCTTGACAAACCAATCGTCCAACCCCACCCACTGGGTGAAACCTCCACAATAAAAAGGAACCTCAGACCACAAGAATACAGAAAGCCCACTCCAGACACAGCAATCTAAACAAGATGAAAAGGCAGAGAAATACCCTACAGCTAAAGGAACATGAAAAAAGCCCACCAAGTCAAACAAAAGAGGAGGAAATAGGGAATCTACCTGAAAAAGTATTTAGAATAATGGTAATAAAAATGATCCAAAATCTTGAAAACAAAATGGAGTTACAAATAAATAGCCTGGAGACAAAGATTGAGAAGATGCAAGAAATGTTTAACAAGGACCTAGAAGAAATTTTAAAAAGTCAATTAAAAATTAATAATGAAATAAATGAGATCAA